GAGCAACTGGGCTGTGGGTGGCAATGAAGACGAACTCCACTTTGGGTTGATTTTTGTTCAGGTAGTAATAAATGAGTGTGGTTTTTTTCACCTCTCTCTATGTTTTAGACCAAAGTCTTTTGAGCAGCAGTTATTCGGTTTTCCAACTAGTTTCTCTGGTTTTACAATTTGATATAAAGGAGGAAATGATTTAATATGTATTCTGCAACCCCACCTCTAATTTTAAGAGTGACTCAAATGACTGTCTTACTAAAAAATCCTAAAAAACTGAATGATATTTATGAACCATTTTTTTTTTTTTTTTTTTTTTTTTTTACAGTTTACATTTTTGTTCCAATGGCTGTAACAGTCTTTGTGAAGCGCAGAATGCAGCAGTGCCCGGTGACCCAAGTACAACAACCTATCTGCCAGGGTCTTTTAAGTAATGTACGGATGAATATATGAGTGAATAATGAAGTGTTAGAGTCTGTAGACAAGTCAAAATAACACTTGGTATTTTGCCAGGAGAATGTTAGAGTTCGTAAACAAGTCTGGATGGTGCCTGGCAAAATGCCAGAGGGAGTGGTTTGTGAAGTAACAAAAGCGAGCCATTAAGTGTGGAGATTCCTTATTGGTTGAGTGATGTATCTAGTTTATGCTAATTAAGATAAGCTGTGCAAAATGTATAAATACCTCTGTTGTCCTACAATAAACGGCTCCTACTCCTGCTGCATCAACGTACACAAGTTATTCGTCACCCCCCAACCCCGATATTTTGCTGCAGCCAGACTGCGGCAATGAAGAATGGACGAGCAGCTGGAGCACTGATAGTTACACACTTCCAAAACTATCCTCACACTGGAAGGCCATACGTTGGGCCTCTGTGTGGCAGTTTCAGCATGAGGCAAGGTTGGCAGGAGGGTCTGGATGAATCAGACATGCATCTGCAAACTCTTGTCTGAGGAAATTTTTGGTGAGAAAAGAGGGCTTGCTCAGCATATGGAGACAGATGCTTCTCTAAGTTAACTATAAATATTTTATAGTTCTACTACTTACTCCTGGGGGCCACAGAAAAATATGTCTATAATTTAGTTTTTCTGAGTTGACGCCAATTCTCTAGACACAACCAATGAAACCCCTAGACCAACAAGTGACTCATTGAAAAAGCAGAGTCCATTGGCTCTTCTGTGGTCTGACCACTAAAATTCAAAGAATTAGAAGAGCTGATTTCTGTCCCTCTCCTGAGATGGCTCCAGCTTACTGATGAATGCCCAGTACTCAGTGGGGCTTAGTGTACAACACTCTTTGACCTCCCCACATCCCTGGCATGGTGCACTGCACCAGGACATAGTGGTGGTCACAAAAGAGTGCAGGACATTAACAATTATATTGTTAATGACTGAAGATAAATCAGTTATTTTTGTCACTAATTAAGCTTGCCATTTCTTTAGGGCATCTAAATCACAATTCTGCTATTTAATAATTTAATATTAATATTAATTAAATATTAATCAATTTGGGTAAGTCACTTCCTTTCTTGGGCCTGGGCTTCTTCATCTATCAAATGGGAAAAGGAAATGTGGCATCTACACCCCGTAAGTGACACAGAGGGCAGTGCTGGCGAAAGCACTTGATACCCTTCTTGAGTTCACCACCTCCTAGGCTGCCTCTGCATGCTCTGGAATTCTCCTTACAAGTCGGAATCATGACCATCCACCTGCTCTGGCAACTAAAGTGCCACATATTTGGTGTCAGGAAGAGTGGTTTTATTTTGAAATTCTTTTAAGAATTCTAGGCGATGTCCCCCAGTCTTGGAGACTTACTGACTCTCCCTGAGGTCTGGAAAGGTGGCCCCATCACTTGCCCCACATTGGTGCCAAGGCACTCTGGGGGGAGGGGCACTGTCATTCTCATGAGCATCATTGGCTCCTGACTCTCCAACTGTCATGTTGAGGCTGACCCACATCAGGGGTAGTGCCCAGCATTTCAGGCAGTTACAGGACAAGCACTGAGAACCAGAAATGTTAGCGTTAGTGTAAGTAGAAAATAGGAAATAGTTGGGAACACGATGCTCATGGCATAGGAGCGATCTGGGTTGGCTGGGGCGGGGGTGGGCAAGGATGATCAGGGTTAAGGAGAGAAGGTCTCCCTTGTTCAAACCAAGAAACCCAGAAGGGCAAGGAACATCGCCCAGTAGGAGATGTAGTGGACTCCTACTTAGCTGCACTGGGGGGTGATACTTGTTTTCCCAGGACCAATCTTTCCCTTGAGTCCCTTACTACCTCATAATGAAGAATACCATCCCTATTTAACAGGAGACCCCTTAACAATCTCCCCTTGTATCCTGAAATCTCCTTGCTCTGTGTGTCTGTTTTCTCTTAGAGAAGCTTCCTGACTGGGACTCCTCCTATGTGCCTGCCTTTGCAGCTCTGCACCATAAATTACTTCACCTGAATCTGCAACCCCACCTCTAATGTTTGTACACAACTGCTTAGACCTTTGACCTTGAGAAGTTCCCTCCCATGTTATCTCCTTAAGTTACATTCCCTTCAGATCCCTTTAGTACTTTGCTGGTTTTTTTGGAAAGATGTTCTGCTTTGTGTTATATGATTTGTATGTATCTTATCTTGCTTATTCCTTTGTGTACCTCATGAGGACAGAGATCGGCTCCCTTATTTATGTAACACCTGCAGTGCCCAACATAATATCTTACACTGATGAAGGCAATAAACATTGACTGTGCTAAATTTTATGACATTCTGATTTCTAAGAATGAGTAATTGTATTTCCTCCCACATTTTTTTCTCGTTTCTAAACATAGTCATAATAATGTGATCACAATTACACAGTAGTTTCTCTATAAATAAGACAGCTACTGGCTTATTTTTTATTTCATGTAGACTCAAACTCAAATACACTTTCCTATCTTTCAGGGTCCTGAACCATTTTCTAAGGCAACAGCCATTTATCTTTCCAGAAAACATTGCTATCACATCTTCTGTGAGCTGCCAGTCACAGCTATGGGCATCTGAGACCTTCAACATCACTCTGGTTGACCTGCAGCTTGCCATTTTGGTGGAATGACCCTGGTACATTTTCATTATCTCGGGCCAGGCAGGCAATCCGTTATGCTTTTAGCATACCAAGCCCACTGCCATGATCCGTGGTGGTTCCCCACAGGTCACCTGCCCGTCCACTGCTGCTTGCCTCCTTGGAGTCTCTCAGTCATTTCCATCAAGTCCTCACGAGCCACCATGCATTTCAGTTCTGCTGCTCTTGGGGGCCTGGGAGTGCTAGGGAAGTGGGTATGTGCTTTGGCTTTGCTGTCTCTCCAGCCCTGACTGGTGCAGAGAGAGCATCTTGTCCTCAGGCACTATTTAATTCTCTCCTTAGCACTTCAATGTCCAGAGTTTGGCTCAACTCAAATCTCAGACTCCAAAATCATATTCCATTCTAACTAATCACTAGATTTTAAATTACTTTCATTTTTTTTCCAGTTGTTTGCAAATTTGTTTGGGCCTTCTTATGACAATGATATAAATGTATACGAGCTGTCCTAAGCAAGTGTCCAGTTTGGGGCTGGGAAGAGCCTTTCTTCTTGTGAAGGGGCCACTGAGCCCACATGAAGACTGAACTCACACGTGAAGACTGAACTCACAGCCTTCTTGGTGGGGAGGATGAGGCACTGGAAAGGAAGGAACACTAACTCGACTTGGGACTGTGATCAAAAGGGAACTGAGACCAGCCCTGGAATCAGCATGTGGGGAGTAAAGCAATACTGATCTGCAAATGTGTGCCTGGTCTCACTGACCTCAAGTCTGCTTTGGTACCTGGCAAATGACAGGATCAGAAATGCTCCACTACATTCTTCTCTGAAATATACTGAAAATCAGGCTGAGCCACTCGGTGGGAAAAAAAAATGAGAAATATGCTATCCCTATCATGAAATATATACCCAAACCATTGAACTTCATTATTAAGATGGGAAGGGATGCCCCATGCAGGAACAGCTATAATGAGAATGTTTTAATCAGTCTATCTGTACATTTTGTAATGATTTCAAGCATGAGAATTTATTATCTAATCAAAAGGATTTGTGATTACTAATTAGTTACATTGTATCCAATCAGGAATTAATACTGTGGGCCTAATTACAAATGTTGAGCTTTGTACCCAGTTGTGGGATGCGTGCCGACTGGCAATGCTGGGCGGGGGAGTGGCGGGCCTTCCCTGACCCTTGGTTCTACAGCAAAGGCACCAGCAGGGCGGGGTTGTGAGACTTGGGGTTCTACGAGGCCCCAAGGCCCCTAGGGGTGCAGAAGGCCAAGGTTTACCAGGCTGGACCACCTGAGCCAAGCAAGCTGAAAGCATGTTTTATTGGAGTCTGGCTACAAAGCATAGAAAAAGAGGCTCTGGTGCCAGGGTTAATATTGTACAAATATAATAAATATTTCTTCCCTCTCTCCAGGAAGCACACAGAGAGTAAAATGAATTATTACTACTTTGGAATAAACAGTAATGCTCTCTGGGTGAAGAGCCAACTGGCAGTTTGAAAGATTGGGTTAATCAGACACAGGGAAATTTCTGATTAATTGGACAATTACTTGGAATTCTGAGTGAGCCAAGGCGATATTAGAGAAATGTCCCAACCAACTGGGAGTAAATTCAGTAGCCTGAGGCAGAGATTCTGAAGCTTATGGAGGCTGAAATACACTGGCATTGTGGGCCTGATTTTATGATCTCACGTTTGTCAAATGTATAGGGCCTGCAACTATCTTTTAAGACTAAAGTGATTCAAATTATTTTGATTTTCAACAATTATGGAAAATCTGTTTGACAGTCTCTTGAAATAAGTTTAAGACCCAAGGACATGACAAAACCAAAATTTAGGGGTCAGCAGGGAGGAATCACTATGATTGATGATGTAAATGGCCCAGATTTAGGAATAGGGCACGAGAGCCGGCGACACACGTGACGTTCTCCCAGGCTCCTTCCTTGGAGTCGAAGGAGCCACATCTCACCTGGTGGGGGCATGTTTTTGTTCCTCCTCCTCATCTGTGTCGCTGCTGATGGTGATGACGCTGACAGTGGGGCTGGGGGTATCGGGGATGACAATCGTTTGTCGCTGCCGCTCTCTGGTGGTGCTGGAGGCCATGTCGCCCCACCCACATGTGACGGAGGTACTGCAGGCTGGGCTGCTGTGCACCATGGCGCAGCGGGGAGGTGTGTTCTCCTTGACACGTTTGGATCGCTGAGGGGAGCTGATGGCCTGGGAGGAGGACACTTCACAGGTGGAGACGTTTCTGTAATGACAAAACCATACATGCAGAGGAAGCTCAGGCCTGGCAACTCCTTCCAAAGAGTCCACTTTAGAAACACCAGTGTCACCAAATGTTCATTACAAAAAAAAAAAAAAAAAAAAGTCCAAGGACTAGACCAATTAGACTGAGTTTGTAATTAGAAAAGTGGTTGCCCTAGAGGTCTTTCAGGTGAGGACAACAGCTTGGCCTCCCCAGGGCTCTGGTCTGGCTCCCTATACCTGCACCCATAGGCTGGTCTTGTAGGGGTTTAAGTCCTGACCAGAAGTCAGCTGTGTCTGCTTCAGTGTGGTCTTCATCTTCAGGATTAAGGTCCTGCTTTCTGGGCTCCATCCTGTGACTCCACAATAGATTTTATGTCTTGTTTGGGATGGAGAGAGAAGTGGTGTTGGCCTCATAAAGCTTTGTTTCCTTGCTAATAGTTGTTCTACCATTTATTATACTAAAACACTTGTTTCTTAAAGAGTTTCTGGACTATAGGTCCTAACTTTGGTGACTTTAAAGTTCAGCTTTCCCCCTTTCCTCCTCTGGGAAAAGGATGTGGTCATTAAAGTATTTGTGTATATGTATTAAAGGAAAAAAAAAAAAACCCAAACGATTTTTCTGGATTTTGATCCCTGAGCCTTGTGGGGAGCTTGCCAGTCTATGTGAATTATAATTAAAAATTAGGAATAGTACAAGAGGAAAAGATACACTTAAAAAGGAAACTTTTAATTTGGTTTTGATTGAACTGAAATTCCTTATTAAGTGAGCCAGTGTAGTTTCTGGTAACTTCAGGGAAAAGATACCTTTTTCCCTCCCCATCTAACCTTTGCTGATCCTGGTAGTATCTACAAGTGAGAGACCAAATCCAATGTATAATAAATCTTAGGCCTTATGTCCTTAGAGGATATTCTAGCTAAAGGAATGGCAGTAAAATGAAAATAGTAAAGATAGACTTATTTAATTTTTTATCTAGCCAGTTTTAACTACACTGCTTATTCCTTTTCAGGGGCTGGTAATAAGTTTTACTGATAAGACTGTTTCAGTGTTTTTACTTATCAAAAGCCTATGTGTTTGTTATTGCTAATATATGATTTTGAGATTAAATTTTTTGTTATTCTATCAGCTGCAGTACCTCCACTTAGCAGTGTTAAAGAAAAGCAGGCGGGGCTGGAATTGAGGCTCAGTGGCAGAGCTCTTGCCTGGCATGTATGTGCGAGGCCCTGGGTTTGATCCTCAGCACCACATAAAAATAAATAAATAAAATAAAGGTATTGTGTCCAACTACAACTAAAAAATAAAATATTAAAGAAAAGTAGGCCTGGCCATACTATCTGACGAGAGAGAGAGAGACACACACACACACAGACACAGACACAGACACACTGACTTCTTTCTGTTCTCTCAGACTTGTTTTGTCTAAGGTATTGGACTTAAAAATAAGCAAATACATAGCTTGGACTATAATTGCATTGATCTTGAAGTGCACAGGCAGTGAACTTTCAGGAGGTCAGCCAGACAGTGAGAGGATAGGGAGGGACTTGCTAAATAGGTGGTGAGGACAAGGGTTCTTACTGCCCCTATTTGGCCAAGGTGAGCCACAAGGATGCAGATACAGTCCTGGGTCAGACCAGCACTCTGTGTGACTGCATGAGTGGCTGGCCATGATAGTGCCTGAGGATCAAGACGGCTTTTTTGGATGCTGAGTCTAATAATGACATGAGTATACTGTCACAGGGCTGCCAGACAGAAGCACTCTGGAGGCCTGCCACTGATTTGATTTTCCCTGAGTTGTCAGATACACCCAAATAAGGACTCTTGAAGAAGGACAACAACTTGTAGGAAGTTAACTTTTGGATTGATTTTTGAGAATGAAAGGAGGTAGGACTAGTTTCTGGTGCTTAATTATATGAGGAAGCAGAAAACCAAAATGCATTAAACCTTGTGTATACTGGACTTCTCCAAATAAGCAACCACGTACCTCTAAGTCGGTGCCATTAGGAAGAAATGTAGGAACAATTCTGTGGTTGCATGATCTGGATCTATTTGGTTATAGGATTTTTTTTTTTTTTGAGGGTGGGGCTTGGAAATCTCTATATTTTAAAAGTTCACTGAGGTATAGTTGACATATGTAAAATTATTGCTTCTGAAGAGTTTGATGAGTTTTGACAAACGTACATTTATAAACCCCAACCACAATCCAGACATGGAACTTTTTCAACACCTGAGAAGTCCCCGCATGCTCCTTCCTAGGCAATCCCCTCCTATCCCACAGTCTCTGGCAACTCCTAATCACATAGCATGTAACTGTTCTTGCAGCTGGATTGTTCAGGAGTTCACTGAGATGAGACTAGAGTTAAAGGGAATGGGAAAGATTAGTGTCATGTTATTAGTGTATGGGATCAACCGCAGTTAATTGTTTGTAGTTAAGGAAGCAGCTAAATGAATCAAAATTTCTGACCTCAAATTTCAAAGAAAGTACAATCCTCTAGGATTTTTGCTTTTTGTTTTTGGTTCCTGTTCACTTAAAATAGCAAAATATTTCAAGCATGCATAGACTTGTAGGCAATACTCATGCCAGGACCATCCAACATTATAAAATCTTGATTCATTGTTATATATCCTTTAAGTTTTTTTTTCTTTTTTTCATTTTTAGGGATTGCACTCTATATGTTGTAGGCAAATGTTTTACCTTGAGCTACATCCCTAGTTCTATTGTGGAGTGTTAGGATCAAACTCTAGTATTTTTGAAAAAGTTATCCTAAATGATTTCCAAAGTGAAATTTCAGAGGCAAAGCTGTTTTCGAGAGAAGAAGTAACAAAAACTTTCTCCTTGGCCAAACTTTAGTCAGGCTATGAACCTTCTCCTAGGCCCACTTGTGTATTTCTTATAAAATCCAGTCTTAGAAAACAGCCTTGCTAATTCAGTTTAGACAGAGCCTGTCATCCTTGATATCTGATCAAGGTTCCCTACCCTTCACTGTTCCCCAAGTGATTCCAATTACCTTGGCCTGCCTTCAGTTGGTTTAGCTAGAATAACCCTTAAGCCTCATGTTTCCTCTTAGTAATTTTCAATCCTCTGACCCCAACACTATTCCTTGGCTATTTAGTCCCACTTGTCCATGCTGTATGCAGAGTTCAGCCCAATCTCTCCCCAACTGCAAGATCCTAGTTCAGCATCCCTGGTAATATTTCCATGGTACTGAATAAAATCTTCCTTCCTGCACTTTAACAAGTATCAGTGAATAATTTTCTATTCCCCCTGAACAAAAGGGGCTAAAGCACCTAAGATGCTGCACGTGCTGTGATTCTGGGCCTCCACCCTCAGGGTGCCGCAGGGCTTTACTAGAGTGCAGGCTGCACTCACACAGAGTGACAGTGAGTGCTGACTGCGCCATCTAGGCCAGGCCACACATGTTCTGGGGCTTCTGCAGGAGGAGCTGCTCCCTCCAGTGCCAGCAAGCTGACACCCCCCCTGTCCTAAGCGTCGCTCTCAGCATCACGACCTCGGGGCGGGACCTCCCAGGCCGCTCTCACCACCTACCTCACAGATGACTGGTGCTGCTTACTCTTCCGAGAGGAGGTGGTGCTGGTTGGCTGCTGCCGCATCACGTGGGCCACACCCACATTTAAGGGCTGGGCGGCTGGGAGGGTCACATGACCAGTCAATAGCGCGGGCTGCTGCATGATGGGATTGTAATGGCTGCCGTGCGCATGCGTGTTCCTGAAAAGGAAAAGGAGGTGGTTTTTATGGAAGCAGTGCCTTTACAGGATGAAGTTACCTTTTAACTGAAAGCTGACCATGGCTGGGGATGTGGCTCAGTGGTTGAGAGCCCCTGGGTTCAGTCCCTGGTACAAGGAAAAAAAAAAAGGCCGACCACGTCCCATTGAAGGGGCGGGAGGAACCTGACGGGTTGGCGAGAACCAGGACTTAAGTGGGAAGAAGGCCAAGTGTGCAGGCTGTGCTTCCAAGTTCTGGGGACTTAAGTATGCCCTCTGACTTTAAGTGAACAGGTGATTATGCTGAACAATAACGTGTGTTTTATTTTTGAATTTATAGAGTGCCTTCAGTGGAGTCTTTCATTCCACTCTGAGGTAGACAGGATGTTGTGGTAATACCATTTTATTAATGAGGAAATTGTAGTTAATGCGAAAAACAAACTTTGAAGACTGGGACTCACGTTCTCCTGGCATTAGTGAGTGTTAATGTTCTTTGGAATTCCCTCAGTGGCCGGTACAATGCACAGGCCTATAGCAACTGATCAGTTAATTACACGCTTGCAGAATGAACAATTAGATTTACGGAAGGTTGACTGGACGTGTATAGAGTTTGGTATTAAATAAAAATTAAAAGCAGTCAGACACATACTGATAGGAATACTGGCAGCCTGCATCCTGAAAATGGGTTACATTTCTAAGTTCTTATTATTTGAGTTGTATGGAGATCAGCACCTTATTTCCCCACAGAAATGTTAAAAGTGATGATTAACTCAGAAATTTCCCCATGAAAGTCCACTTGACACATAAGATAATTAAAAGCTACAAAGAATTTACTTGACTTTTTAAAAATAATCAAATTCTACCTTTGCTACTTGGGGGAAAAGGATGATCAGGGGAAAAAAAGGAGCAGATGAACACTTTTGTAGAAATTTTGATACTCTTAGGCATTTACATGGACTTCAGAAACTGATGTTATGGCTTCTTTATTTTGTCATTGCTCTTTCCCTACAGAAATGTGGTGTTCTTTTCCTTTGAAACCAGTCCAGCATTAGTACTGCTCTTTTGTTTATTAGTCAAGATCACAGATGTTCTTTGGTCCACATGTTAAAGTGGGAGAGAATGGAAGAAAGTGCATTGCTTATGGATGTTGTTGGTGATTGCTAGGTTAAGAGATGGAAAAGAGAAGAGAGGGGGGCTAAGAAAATATGCATGAATAAGTGCATGATATTGCTGAAATTAAATGAGCTATAAATGCTGAAAGACAAAGGAGTAAAGGAGTATGGCGTGTGTGGTCTTTTAGGAGAAAAGGGGTGGTGGTGGGGGGAACAATTGGTCAGACAGCTTTCCACTTGGTTGCTGTTCCTAATGAGCTAGAGGAAGAAAAGCAGTCTTGCTGAGCATGAACTGCTGTGAATGGGCAAAAAGAAGATGACAGGCTTATTTATTGACTGTCATGTTCAGGCACTGCTGTGGTGCATGTTAAATACAGGCCAAGTGCTTTGTGTTTTGTCTTAATTTAAACCATTCAACAATCCTATGACATAAGCCTCATTATCCCCACTTTGCTGAAGGAGAAATCAAGGCTCATAAAGGTTAAATAACATGCCCTGGTCCCAGAAAGCCAGAATGGAAGTCTGTTACACCTGATGTTGAAAGTGATTCCAATGAATGCAGGTGGGTGTGGGGAGTGAGAGGGACTGTGGGGACAGCCTGTGCACTCACTTCTTTGTACTAGTCAGTTATAGGGAGAGTGGAGGAAGCTGTAATAGAGACTTGACCAGGCACTTATAGCTCTACCTGTCAGCCTCTTCCAGAGAGCTCTCTATCAAAAATGTTCTTTTAGGTCAGAAAAGGAATTATGGGTAACTTCAAGGTGGGATGGAGACTCTCAAGAGGGTTGAGGGGAGTGACCAGCCCTGGTGTTTATGCTGAAGGAGAGACAGCCCAGAAGGGTCATGAGGAGTTGGGAACAACTTGGAAGTGGCCATGAAAACCACAGAGCAGCATGTCCATGAGGAAGTCAGTGTTTGGATGGGTGGAGTTCAGGAAATTCACAGGGGTGTGGTGTGCTGGCAGGTGGTCACCTGGATGTCTTTAGGGTCTATGGGAAGTGGAATGTGTGACACGACTAGTAACTGGAGAAGCACACTCAACAAACATGCCAGAGTTTACCATTCCAACAAATCCTATCTGTCAAACCTTCCCTGGGGAAGTCAGATAGACTCCAGGGTGCTTATATCTCCAAACATCCTGAGAACACTTTCTAGAATTGCTTAGGGCTTTGGGGACTCTCTACTGCTTTCTTAACTGGTGACAAACCCTTCTTTTCTGAAAGTGGAATTTAATTCTGAGAAAAAACAAAAATCATGCAGAGCTGAGTCTGGTGAATAACACTGAATGATGCAGCTTAATTTTGGGTAGAAAAATGACAGATAATCATAAATTAATAATCTGATTTTCTTAGATCCTGGTGCTTTATGTTAAAATAACCATTACAGTGTAGTCATAGTCCTGTAATCTCTGCGTTGTGGTAGACATGCCTCCCATCCCAGACACACCGCTCACTCTTGAAGTTTCCTGCTTACCTCCAGTCGGCCAACTGCTGGGTGCCTGCCATGGTCTCGGGAATTACAGTCGCATGCTGCACTGATGTGTGGGTGGCCACTCCAGTCAGCTGCTGCCATGCTGAAGGAAGCAGGATCTGTTGGGTCCCACTCGGCCAGGCCTGCTGTGGCACAGAGGACATTTGCAGTCACCACATTTGTTAATCACATAATTATACTGTGCCGGGAGTGGTGCTAGACCCTGTGAAGGGTGTGAAAGTAGTCTCTGGCTTCAAAAACTATGTTAACAGGAAGCAATACTAACACATATGAAGTAATAGAAGATAAGTACAGAGACACAAAGTTGAATGGAAGGGATTCATTCATGTTGAAGAATGATTTGGGGATTTGCTCTAATGAGCTATGCTCAAAGTTTCTAAAAGTCATTTATTGACTTGTTCTGCCACAGAGCTACATGTAAGTGATTGAGGGAGTCTTGAGCTGGGTGACTCCTTGCCCTCAGGGAGCTTTCTATTTAGTGTACTTGATTTGATACTTTACCTTTTGTTGATTATTTAGTACTTATAGGTCTAACTTATGCTATCTTCTGAATCTAAGTTTACAAAACCCTGAGATGAATGAGTATTTGGTGCTGGCCTACACCTTGGATCAAGCATTCAGTAGTCCTCCCCTCATCTGCCAGCTTTTGAAGTGACTTTCTTATCTGGAACCTTCAGCCTAAATGAGAATCACCTTAGCTCCTCAAAGCAAAAATGAGAGGTTGTTAGGAAGTCATTGCTTCCATCTTCAAAAGACCAAGATTTTCCTGAGAAATCTAAAATAGACTTTTGTGGTTCTTTCTTGAATGTTGTATTTTAAGCTCTTCATATTCTTCATCACTATTCTTGCCATTGGTCACTAAATAATTCAGACTGAAAATGGAATTTAAAGTTGGGCTCATAAAGGGCTACCACTAAGGTAAAATACCTCTTGGGCAGGTCAGGATTTAAGTTTTTGATATCTTAGTTATATCTCTCTCTCCACTTGGCTGGACATGACCAACATCGGGTAATTCAGCTAATATAGTGCTCCACACACTGGGCAGGTGTTTAACACGTGTTTTGACTCACATATACAGACAAGCACTTCTGGAAATGGATGGCATTTTGAGGCAAGGCTTAAAAAATAGTGCTGCTTATAAAAATGACATAGCCACGTTTTAGAGCTGTCCTGCTTCTCTGTTCTGTCATCTGTCTGGCAACTGTCATGTTGCCAATGAAGTCTGTGAGATCACTTCTACTTTTTGATATTGCCTGTTTGCTTACTGATCTGTTTTGCTATAGGAAGAATGCTTAGAGGCCATGGGTAATACATAGGTGCTTAATAAATATTCTTGATAAATGAAGAGTCAACTCTACCAAGTCTGTTTTTATAATTAGTATTATTTCAGGTTTACCAAATGCCTCATAAGAAGAAAAATAAATTGGTTAAAACAGTTGTCAACTCAAAATATTAAGTAAATAACAATTTCATTGGCAGTAAGATTTTTACTGCTTAGTCATTTGGAACTTATTTCAGATCTCATGAAAAGCATGAGTTTTGATTAACATCATTAAAAATATCTTGATGTAAAGCTCAGACCATCATTTTTAAAACTTCCTTGAAATGGATATTAACATTTTACCTCAAAGAGATGGTATAAAACACCATTTTTGACCTTTCAAACTTACTGATACACTCAAATCATTTCAGATGAACCTTCATAGACAGTTCTATAATTTATTATTACTACTAAGAACAGAGCTAATATTTCTTATTGTGTGCCAAGCACAGAGTCAAGTTCTAAGTAGATTTTTTGACTTCTTAACACCAATTGTGTGAGGGGATGCTATTGTTTCCTTCCATTTCTCAGATGAATAAACAGAGAAGTTAAACTTGCCCAGAAACTTGGTACATTAAACATATATGTTTATTGTTCTTAATAAACCCAACTAAAATGATTTTGAGGGAATAAAAAAATTTGGATTCATAAGAGCAAGAAAATAGGGGAGAGACAATAACAGTTAACAAAATTTAAGGAGCAGGGTAACGATGGACAATTACCAGGTGAGTGAGCAGACAGAAGGAGTCTAAGGGAAGCTGCATGTTAAACCCTCAGTTCCCAGATCCCTGGTGTGCAGGCTTATACCTCCCTCAAAGTTGGAGCTGGATGATTCTCTCTAGGGGAAACGGAAAAGAACTACAAAAGAAAAGAGTTACAGATACAACATTTCAGGATCTGAGGTCTGCAGTGAACATTCTGGGCTTGTCCCTTATGTGCCTAAAGAGAAGGCCACATTCAGTGGTCCTCCCCTCATCTGCCAGCTTTTCGAGGGAATTTTAAGAGCTTCGGTCTTACATATGCATCAACAGCCAAGGATGACCAGACATTAAAGGAAGCTTCCAGCATTAAAGAGTCTAAGATAAACAAAAAAGAAGCTGGGAAGAAGAAACACAATGTAGAAATCAGAAGAGAATTTCCAAAGACTTGTAATTAATGTTCATACCTAGTTAAAAAAATCCACAAAGTAAGATCATATAGTGAAATATATATTTATATACCAATAGCTATATTCAGTGAACAAGAAAGCACTCTTAGAAATGAGAACTAGGACAAAATGAACACTTCAAGGAAATTTCTCAGAAAGTACAGACAGAAAATATATAGAAAATGGGGTGGGGGAAGAAAATTGGAAGATCAATTTATAAGTTCCAATAACCAAGTCTTAAGATGTCTACCAAGAAAAACCAAAAAACAGAAAAAAATTATTAAAGAAAAAATAAAAAGTTCCAATTAAATGGGCAAATATGTGGTTGGGTATGAAGGTAGGTGGTAGAATGCCTGCTTAGCATGTATGAAGCTCTGGGTTTGAAATCATGAAATTTGAGACCACTGTGGACAAAGAGAAAGTCTTAAAGGTTTCAGAGAGAGAGAAACAATAGTCACTGAACTCATGCTCAAATATAACACTTTAAACACATAAACCTTTCATAGCTCTAGAAAGATTTGGGATTGCATAATAAAAGATATATAGAAAACCAACCCAGTAAAAAAATGAGGAACCTATTAACTCGGGGAAAACAAGAAGTTATACAAGAAAGGAAATATAATCACAGTATATTATGAAGCTCAGCTGAGAGTAATATTTACTGATAATAACTTTACGAACAATGTATTACAGAGTAGTTGAATTAAAAATCATATGGGGTGAATAGGAGAAAGGAAAGTGAGTGAATGAGAACAAGGGAGTGAAAAAGACTGTGTTGTGAGGAGGGGTGTGTTAGAGAGCTAAGTCTTCAACTTTCATTATGGGAAATCAACTGATCATAAAGAAAATGGAAAAAAATCAATAAAAAGAGGTCTAGAATGCTATTTAGAAACATGGAGTTAAAAGTAAGATTGAATAGTCAAATTAAAAATAATTGTTTAGAGAAAAGTTAAAAGATGAAGCAGGGAATTATATTTTCTTATATGTTTGTGGTATCATTTAGTTTTAAAAAATTATATGTCTGTATTAGTTTGAAAAGAATAACATTTAAATTTCAAAAGTAACTTCCAAAGGCTAGACATATAGGTTAGTGATGGAGTATTTGTCTAACATGCCCAAAACCTGGGCTTCAATCCCCAGTACTTTTAAAAAATATTTATTTATTTATTTTTTTAGTTGTAGTTAGGCACAATATCCTTATTTTATTTATTTATTTATTTATTTTTATGTGGTGCTGAGGATCCAACACGGGTCCCGCCCGTGCTAGGCGAGCACTCTACTGCTGACCCACAATCCCAGCCCTCAATCCCCAGTATTGCAAACAAATAAAACAATGAGCCAGGCACTGTGGAACATGCCTGTAATCCTGGCTACACAGGAGGCTGAGGTAGGAGGATGGCAAATTCAAAGCCAGCCTCAGCAACTTAGTGAGGTGCTAAGCAACTTAGTGTGACCCTATCTTAAAATAAAAAATAAAAGGGCTGGGGATGTGGCTCAGTCATTAAGCACCTCCGAGTTCAATTCCTGGTACCATCACCACCACCACCACCAACAACAACAAATTTGTTCAATAACAAATACCACAAAACCAAAAACTTCCCCAAAGTCACACAGCCAGTAAGTGGTGGGTGTGGCATCTTAATGTGAGCTACCTTAATTTCCATGCTGTCAGCCAATATCCTATCTTCATTTATGGAGGTAACACAAAAAACGATGGCCCCTATTGGGATTAGGCATTGGTGGTAACTGCATAAATGTGGCACAAACAAGTCTTCCTTATTCAGCGCCCAGCAAGACAGAAGCAGATAGCAAGACAATGATTGGACAGATTGGTTGCTGAAAATTTTATCAGTAGAGATTTTAAGTGAGAAGCATTGAAGTTTGATATTTTGGACAGTTTACATAGTTCAAGCTAATATCTTGTCCTTAGGAAAACATTTAAAGGCATTTAGGTGATATGACTCAGTTGAAAGAATGCAAAACATTTCTACATGGAATGGTGGAGTCTATAAGGATCTGGCATTTCGGAATTTTTGATACAACCATGCTAGTCAAAGCGTGGTTGCTTTGACTTGACAAGTAAGATGAATTCAATATTTTCTCCATCTAAACAGTCTCCTTTCTATCTTTTCACCTTTACTTGCTCATTCAAAATTTCTGTTGATGGTCAAAATGCTAACTGTGGCTCAGGACCTGGGAAGAAAGAGGGAACAGCTCCGTTTAGAAAGTATTTTAAAAGTTTTCTCTGTGTGTGGGGGGGTGGATCCATAAAGATCACTCCTATGTCACTGACATGAGAGGGTGGGATCACCATCCCCTCCTGCCATGCACATAATCTCAAGGTATCCTACAGAGGCTTGTTTCCTTATAAGGATGTGGTATGGGGAGGAAAAGAGCAAAGAAAATGAAATTAACATGAGGAATAGATTCAAAGATTCCATCTCTAAACCTTCACAAATCAAGTACTTGAAAGGTTTTGCCAACTTTTTGGACATATTGAAAGCAAATGCTAGTGTTTGAATATATATTATAAAAATAATAGTATGTCTGCTTGATACCTAGAAATTTACTTATAGAAAAATGAAGACTTCAATTTAAATGTTTAATTATTGCTTTAAAAAATAGCCACCATACTAGTTTTGCAAGTTATTATTTTTGTCCTTTGAAAAGATCTTTTAAAAATATCTAGGAGAGAACCCCCATCTTAACAGGCTAATATATTGGCATGAATTAAGTGATAAGCAGAGAGAAATAGAAAAAGTCACCAACAAACAAAAAGACACAGTGTGATACTGGGTAGGGCAGGTTTTTTTTTGTTGTTGTTGTTTGTTTTTAATCTTAATATATCTTAGAAGGCTTTACATGTCAAGACACATAGGTCTATCATATCCTTTAAATGGCTACATGGTGTTCCATTTTATGCATTCATGTATTGATTTAACAAATCCCCTACTGGTGAATAATCAGCTTGCTTCCAACAGTTCCCTCTTATAAAACTATAGGAATTAAAACCCTTGTACAAACATTGTTCATTTTCCCAATTATAGATTCGGGTTAAATCAACTTTACAACACTCTAGAGACTTTTTTTCAAGTAACCACAAGGTAAAGTTCTATCTTACTATGACTAAAGGACTGAAACAAATTCAGAAGTGCTTAGCCTATGGGTTCCACCAGACTGAACAATGCAGAATATCTATTTTAGCTAAGAAGAGATGCTATTTATTTATTTATTTATTTATTTATTTATTTATTTATTTATTTTCAGAGACAGTTCCTGGCTTCCTTGAGTTAAGTGTGCAAACACAAAAGGGTCTATAATTACCCTCTAAATACACATGAAATCTTTAGATTTTCACTCAAAGAAGAGGAGCACTAGAACACTGTTTGGACTTTTGCCACTCAGATGAAGTATAAACAAGCTTCTTTGCCCCTGAACTAAGCTGTAATTCTTTCCCTTGATCTATCTCGGCCTTTTCTGAAATCCCCATCAATGAACTATGGAAACAAAAGGAAGCTACAAAGACTGGTGAGAAGCAAAGTATAGGCCTGCTGTAAATATGTAATGTTCTCTTTTGATAACCCTTCAACAAGAAAGTATTTTGTGTGCCACCAGTTGGTATTAGGGGTCACTTGCACAGTTTCAATATGGACATAAGAATAAGGAGACAAAGAATAGTTAATATCAATCTTAACTAAACTGTTCCAGGAAACAGAAGAGGTAGTAAGATCCAATATAATCTTGTACTCAAATCAGATAAGGATTCTATAAGATAGTGAAATTATATGCCATTCCTAATTTAAGAACACAGATGCAAAAATACTAACTACAAAAACAGAATCCAGTATCAAAAACTGTTGTACCATGTCAACCACAACATGATCAAATAAAGTTTATCTCACATATAAAAGAAAAACTTAGCATTTCAAAATCTATTATTGTAACTTCTAAATTAACAGATTAGGGAAGAAAGATCACATGACTACTCTAATGGAGACAAAAAGAATATTTGATACAATTCAATATTCATTAAAAATTTAAATAAGATAAAGTGTCTCTATCAAATATTTGTACTAAATAAACTATCTAAGGGGAAATAGAAGAATTTTCTTTAAGTTTGATAGAAGTTTAAACATGGTTTTGGAGGCCCTGTTCATCCCAGTGATAGATAAACAATAAATAAAGTGTTAGGACTGAAAAACAAGAACAAAACAGTATCTTTTACACAGAAGCAGGATTGATGTAAACTCAACAGACCAAAACCATTTATATTTCTATAAACCAAAAATAAAAAATCTGATTAATAAAATTAATGGCAACAAAAATTGCAAAATACTTAGGAATTATTCCTACAAGGAAAAACTTTATTGACAATAAAAAATAGAGTTATACCATGTTCATGGATAAAATGATATTATAAAAAGATATCAGTGGTTCTTAAAGTAAATATAAATTCAATGCAATCAATAAATATAAATCAGTTTTTGGTTTTTTTTTCCCCTGAAGCTAACATTCTGTGGAAGAGTGATGTTAGAATTCTATGGAAAAGAGATAAGACTAACCAAGGAAATTTTGAAGAACTATTTGGGGACAAAGCTTTCCATACCAGATACCAAGACATATATTAAAGTTATAATGATTAAGACAACGGAATATTAGAGAAGCCAGTGGACTATAAGAAAATCCAGAACAGACCTATGTAATTTGACTACTTAAAACTTAAAACAACAAAATCAAACCCAAAACCAACTTCTAACAGGACAGCATAAGTAAAGTATCTTTGGGTACACTTTGGGAAAAGCATTTGGGAATCTATCTTATTTAAAAATAAAGGTGCTTCTAAACAACATTTAGGTCAAACTGCTCTTGACAACAGTAAAATGATTATACAGAAGTAGTATAGCACAGTGGTTAAAAAACAGATGTTAGCAGGAGACCTCTTGGGTTTATGTTCTCATTGTCATCTTGTTGCTATGTGACTTTAAGACAGTTATTACTTAGTTATTGGATAAAAAGACAGCATCTCTATTTGTCCAATGGAGACAAATGCCTTATTGTATTGTTGTGGGATTACATACATTTGCACCTGTAAAGTGCCTGGCATAATGAGGATGCAGTCATTGTTAGGGTTCAAGAGTCACTAAGAATTGATTACTGTTATGACTGCATCACTACTGTTATCTTAAATTTTTATAACGCTTTATAAATTTTCAACCATTTTTCATTTCTGTGGTTTCGTTCATTAGAGTACCTCTATGGATAGATGAGGAAGGTTCCAGCTAACAGCTTCTGTGAATTTCTTCCTCAACTATAAAATGAGGGAGTAATCTCTAGGGCTCTTTTTTGGCTCAAAAAAAAAATTCATTTCTATTTTACAAGAAAGAGATTTGAGGCAAAGAGATGTTAACTGACTTGCCTTAGGTCATGAGAGTTACTAGCAGATCTAGGATTAAAACCTAGGTCTCCCAGATTAATTTGCATTTCAAAGATACAATAATGATTTCCCTTGACTCTCTGTATCTACATTTCTTCTTAGAATTGTAAGCAGATACTTAGGAAGGTAAATCACTTGGGGATCATTTAGAACATTATAGATATATTCCTGTGACTGGAAACACCTACCTCATTACCAGAGAGGGAGTTAGTGGAGATATACCTCTTTTGTGAACAACAGTAATATGGAGAATGGTAATATGGGTAATAATATGGGGCTGGCAGGGAGCAGGAGAAAGGATTACCTGGGCAAGCAGACCTGGTTGGATCTGAAGAGGCTGAGCTCCTGGCGCTTGAGTGACAATAGGCACCGCATTTTCCATTCGCACTGAGTAGCCAGCGTGCTTCGAGGGGGAAGCCTGCAAGCCTATTACAGACAGTGGGTGAGGGAGAGAGGAGTTAGTTGACAGGAAACAGTGGATGACATAGCCAACTGTGTCATCTTTTATCTCCAAGTCCCAACCCATCAACCAGGTGCTGCCTGGCTCTTTGGAAGTTTCCCCTTTAGTTTCTACTTGAATTAAAAAAATAAAAACTCCTCCTGTAATCTCGAATGTTTTCAAAAGACTAGAAGGTCAATTAAATTCTGTACTCAAGAGGTGGACAGTTATGTTGACAAATTACAACAGGACAATAAGAGCTTCTGACAATCAAGATATTCCTGTGTAGGTCACTGCAAAGGGGTCAGAGAGAGAATGGATGAATCTGTTTTGGAATCACATTGACCAAACCTAAGCAACCACACACATGCTTACTTGTGGGCTTTGCAAGAATAAAATTTGTAATTCCCGTGTAAATTGTGACAAGGTACACAGTCACCTCTAGCTTGGAGAGTCTACAGAAGAGTACTGGGGTTGTGGCCAAAGAATGATTTGGGGGAGGCAGCCCCAGGAGGTACTGTTCAGTGTTTTTCAGATTTATATTCTCCATGTGAACTGGGACTCTGTTGGCGGTCAGAGAGACTGGCAATTTTCTATAGTAAAGCACACAGAGTATTTCATGTGAGGGAAGCAGGAGCTGACATCAGCATGACAATGGGAGCACAGACAATGTGCTTATTTACAGGCAGCTGGCCAGGGACACAATCCCTGGCAGGTGGTGAGAATAACAACAAACTGACTTGGTGCAGAAGCCCAAGTCCTATTGTTTCTAGGTTGGTCACAGTAGGATAGGAGCCCCCAAGCTCAGTGATACCCGAGCTCTCACTGAAAGAAACCAAGAGGGCTTTCTTCCATGAAAGTGAGCTGCCAGAAAACTGCAGGTGTCAGGCCCTAGAGGTGGTCCTGCAAGAAGCAGAGGAGGGGCTGGCTGGGCCATCCTCACCTTGGAAGCCAGGAGGACACACGATGAGAGCTTGCTGGAAGGGGTCAGGCCGGGCACAAATCTGGGCTGTTCCCGTCTGCAGGGGCATGCTCCGCTGGGCCACTGCAGCCATGGATGCCGCTGAGGGCTGGTAGAGTGTAGATTGGTAGTTTAGTATGGAGACTTCGGGATTGGCTAAGGAAATAGTGGCACTGGTGGAGGTGGGAGCCTAAAGGAATGATGGGGATTAAACAAAAATAAACAAAAATAAAAAATGAGGGAGGTGGTATGTTGGGAGACGCGAGTCTAAATCAAATAAATGAACTCAAGGAAGACAAACCGACAAAACCAAGAGCAAAAAAAGCAAAAAGGTGGAGAGGAGCAGAAAGACAGGCACCTGAAGCCACAGGAGACATACCCTGCCTCGATTGATCACCATCTGTGGGGCCCAGGCATGGGTACAAATGAACAACGGTGCATTGCATATCTAAGGACTGAGAAGTTCAAAGCCAGGCTGGAAAACTGTGGTAACATGTCTGCCCTTCTGCTGGGACAAATACACCTTCCTAGTAATCTGGGTGACCAGGTTTGAATTGAGGGTTTTTGGATTCCTTGAATTCTGCACTGAAACATGTGATGGGGTGAGGCTGGCAGCGAGCAGAACCCTGTTTTCCTTCTCCTGCGTAAGTTGGGTCCCACCAACTGGAGGGGCTGTATGAGCATGTGCTGTCCTCCAGTCCATACGTCTAAGCTCTGCTCACATCCCCTTCCCTTGGGCCTGCTGGTGTAGTCCTCTAGAGGCTCCTCTAAGCCCTAAAGACGCTGGGTCTTAGCGTGGAAGCCCACACACCCAAAGGTAAGCCAGAGTGGGGCCCTGCGCAGGGGAGCAGGATGCAAGGCTGGCTCTCTTGTCTGAGCTCCATGAACTTAGGCTGGTGCTGTAGTAATAACCACAGCTGGAGGCAGAGGCTGGTGAGTCCAGAGAATTTAAATGGAGGCAATTGACAAGGGCAAGCCATTGCAATGACGTCCTCTCCTTTCTTTCAGAAAGAGATATCATTAGAGAGTGAACTTCTCTGAGAGGCACGGCTACAGAGGAAAACAAATTCTAAACTGGGAATTCTCCAGCTTTCCCCCTTCTTAGCGTCGTCACACTGATCCTTCAGTAAGAGGGAGAGGTTGCTAATGACTTCAGGTTCAACATTGTCTACAGGAGATTTTCTAGAAGGTTCAAGGACTAAGGAATAAAGAGCAAAAGAGCCAGAAGGATATCTTGGACACACAATACACAAAGACCATTTCAAGTGGAATATGTATATATGTCAAATTTGATAAAAAAAAAAGAACAAGTCTCATTTTACATGTTTTATATATATTTTTGTACCAGGAACTGAATCCAGGGGTGCTTAGCCACTGACCACATCCCCAGACCTTTTTAAATATTTTATTTAGAGTCAGGGTCTCACTGAGTTACTTAGAGCCTCACTAAGTTGCTGAGGCTGGCTTTGAACTCATGATGCTCCTGCCTCAGCCCCCTGAGCTGCTGGAATTATAGGCGTGTGCCACTGTACCCAGCTTACATTTAGATTTTGTGCTGAAATATTAGTGCAAAGCAAATTAATTTGCTTGCAAATAATCACTAACTTCTGTGGCATGCATACCTGGATTCCAGGGTACATATTTTAAAACATGCACACATTTGCAGTACCACATGGCCTATCTCCACGTAGTGTGACTGGACACATGTGCGCACATGTGGGTCAGCGTTTATGTCCTGTTACTGAGGACTTGATCTGTGTTTCCTCTTTGTCCTCCTCACACCACCCTCTCCCCCGAGGTGGTAGCTTCCCCACATACACTTTCCCACTGTCTGTGACACCTGGCTTCTCCTCAGCTTTAGTCCCTAAGCGTCTCCCTGCTTGGGGCCCTAGCACAAATGTCCTGCAGGTTTCCAAGCTCATGTGAGCTACCTCACCCTCTGGTCAGTGCTGCTTCTGTCATCTCAATGTCCCTGGAACCCAGGAACTCTTTTCAGTTGCTTCTTTCTGGTGCCTGGGACCTATCGGGCTCTAATGGAAGATGTCCTGGGCTCTACATCTTCTCTTCCAATGCTTGGGCACACAGTAGATGGTTCTTTCCAAGACTCCCCTGTGCATGTCAGTGCCCCTGCTCATAAACTCCCCAAGATTGCCCAACACACACAGTCCATGCACCCTAGCCTGGCACTCCTTGTTCCCTTCTGAATTTTTCTTTCTTTACTCTAGATGCTCTGGGCACAGGGCAGATTAGTCTGCTCTTTGTTTCCGAGCCTACTGTGAGCACAGGTCTTTCATCTCACACAAATACTTGGGCCCACAGGGGCCTCTCTAAGCCTCTGAACCTCAGGGCCTAGCCTGGGGCCTCTGCTCTACTTTAGGACCCTCTCAACTCTGTCAACAGAGATAAGCCGCTCCTGTCCTTGCTCTCACCCAGCTCCTGTCAGTCTGCCTGATAGTACAGTTGGTCTCCAGACTGATGCTTCCTGGGAGGAGGGCTCTCCAGCCCACAGTGGTCTCTCCCTCCTTGCAATTCTCCCAATCTTCCTTTTCCTGGCCCTGCGTGTGTCCAGTTTGCATTTTGATTTGTCTGTTTTTGCTTATGGCTTGTCTTGTCATGCAAACCATGGGATCCTTGAGCAGTTGACTCTTCCAGCTCTTTGTAGATTGAAGAATAAGTAGAATCTGTATCCTGACATGAGCTCCAGTCCCCATTGTGACCATTAGGCATGCAGAAGGTTTCCCTCAGTTTCTAATCCTGTTTAAGGATCAGCTGAAGAAGCAAGCTGCAGAAGATGATGTTTTCCACTATTCTGTATCCTCAGTGGTTCCGATAAAGGGAACTAACCTATCGCCTGATTGAGAAGAGCACAGAAAGGACCACCAAGAGCTCTTGTGACTAACAAATGGAAAATAATAAGGAAAAGCAAGTTTTTGGTGACATGGGCTTTTCAAAAATGGGAGAAGTGATTCTTGGAAGCAGTATATGTTTAACTGGTCTAATGTGCAAAACAAATGGGTCTGAGTTTGGCCTATACACCCAAATTAAAATACTTGGTAGAAGGCTAGGTCCAAAGAACAGAATACCAGGGAAGTGTTAAGAAGTGGCTAATCTAAAGGGTTACACCACAAATACCCCAAACAGGACTCTTTATTAAATATGTTCCTTGTGGGCAACCTAATGGTTTTAGGAAGTATTTTGTCAAGAAGCCTTTTTAATTTTTAGAAAGTCAGCTTCCTTGAGGATTATAGATTAGTGACGCCAATTCCTTGAGACATAAAGGATCACTGATTTGTGACCATTTGGGAAAAAGTCCTTTGACTAGTCTACTGGGCATGTTAAGGGGAACAAGGAACTTTTACGTAGTTTAATATCCTACTTCTGACAAAATTATGGAAATATTTTATTGCCTCTTAGTATTTAAATTGGAAGAAAAACTCAAAGGAATTCATGTAGAAAGCAAATCACCAGGAACGCTAATGGACAAAGGGAGTCTTGTTAGATTTAGAGAGCAGGTGCCACCTAGGAAAGGCACTGAGGACCTCAGTGGGACTCTGCAGTGCTCTGTGTACATATGTTTTTCAAGAGTACAGCCTCTGAGGCCAGACTGCTGGTTTCCAAGTCCACATTGCGTGAACTAAGAAAGCAGCCTTGGGTAAGGGGAAGATTGCTTTGTGCCTCAGTTTCCTCCTCTCAAGTGGGAACGATAAACCTATGGATCTCACACGGTTGCTCAGAGGACTGAGTTATGACATGCTTAGAAGAGTCGGGAACATAATAAATGCTCTATAAATGTTTACTATTAGTAATGCTATTATTTTACAACATTAATATTAGAGGAGGGAAAGCAGGCCTTCGTGCCTAAGGCTAGGTATGCGCTGAGTAATTTTTTCCTGATGTATTAAAAAATAGGGCATAGTAGAATCCAATGCCAGAGGATGGAGACCCTGATCACAGACCCCTTCCTTTTGTAGGGTATGGGCCCCCTTACTGGATGCTTTGGGCCTGTACTACATTACCAGCCTCTTCTCCTTCACCCCAGGCCTCCACTAGACCTGAAAGATCTCAGTGCTGTGGAGAGGAGGGATGTTCTTATTCTATAACTGCCTTTTTGATGAGAAATCACTTTGGTTTTGTGATATTTGTTACACTCTTTGGCAGGATATGCTTGCTGTCATATTACAGATAAGATGTCGTGAGCTCCCTGCTATGCTCAGGGACCCACGGACCACCGTTCCACAGCAGAGGAGAGATCCCCACGGGAGGGGTGGCCTGATGGGCAGGCTCTCCCCCTGGAGCACGTACCTGGGGGCCCTCCCCTGCACTCTCCTACAGCCTTTGGTGTTGGATGGGGCAGACAGAAGGCAGAGAGGAACAGGGAATTTGGGACCAGGGAATTAAGATCAGGTGTCTCAAGAAGGCGCTGAACAAAACCATGGTGATACTGTCAAGAAGCTCACATCACTGTGGATGCCTTCGCCTCAGAGCTGGGCTTGGGCCAGGTGGGAATGTTAGTTTCTTTGATTCTAAGCATTAAAGATTGCGGCTCTTCACCCTGAGGGGGCTTTGAACATTAAAGGTCCCTAGGGGGCAGCAGAGTCCAGGTGGCCTCCTGTAGTCTAGGCAGAGGGAGACATGACAGGCTGAGGAGGAAAGCTTCGTAAGCCAATGAGTCACAAGTGGCCCAGGGAAACAGGTGGGCTGGGGCAGTGATTGAAAGAAGGGGTCAGGGACTCCTCAGTGACAGGAGGGGACCTGCCAATGAGTGGACAGCCAGGTGAAGCTATTTATTCCTCAGGTGTAGAACATTCCCCCCCCCCTCACTCACA